AGAGCTGGAAGGGACCGCCTGACCCACACAGACCCCGAAGTCAGGGGAGACAGGCACACGGCTGCAGTGAGACAGGAAGCCGAGCGTTGTACAGATACGGTGAGCCCAGTGGGCAGGCAGGTGATGAGTGGGGAGATGACAGGAAGCCGAGCGTTGTACATGTACGGTGAGCCCAGTGGGCAGGCGGGTGATAGAGCAGGAAGATGATTTGCCATTCTCAGTGTAAGTAAAGGGTTAAATAGCTCTTAAAAATCGAGAAGATATATAAAGTTCCCCGCCACCTTACCTTTAAAAAGGAAGGGCCTGTGAATATGAACAGTCCATCCCAATTGGCCAAAAAGTATGAGAGGCCGCTCCAGCTCACTGGTCTGGAGAAGGAAGGACCAGTTTAATGCATGATGAGATGTCTCTTCTCATGCCCCGGACAGGTGAGACCCTAAGGGAACGAGCCTGCTCAGCCTGGCACTAGAAAAGGGGATGTCCTCATGTTGATGGGGACGTGGGATTGCTATCTAAGGATGTGTGTTGCAGCTTTGTCACATGGCACAAAGCAGTCACTGGGGCACAGCCATCCCACCATATTGAGCAGCCAGGTGGAAAATGAGCTCATGTCGAGGGATTTCTGTAATACACTGCTTAGCGAGGATAGCAGAATGCAGAGAAGTAGGAAATGAGGCAGACATTTTCCCCACACGGTTGTGCATGAGGTGACAGTACACGGAACATCATGGAAGGACACACCCAGGTTCACAAAGAGCATCGTGGAACGACACAGCCAGATTCACAGGGAACGTTGTGGACGGGCACACACAGGTGCACCCAGAACGCCATGGATGGACACACCCAGGTTCACACGGAGCATTGTGGAACAACACACCCAGGTTCACATGGAATGTTGTGGAGGGACACACCCATGTTCACACGGAGCGTCATGGAAGGACACACCCAGGTTCACACGGAACGCCATGGAAGGATATACCCAGTTTCACACGGAACGTCGTGGAAGGATACACCCAGGTTCACACCGAGCGTCGTGGAGTGACACACCCGGGTTCACACAGAACGTCGTGGAATGACACACCCAGGTTCACATGGAACATCGTGGAACGACACACCCAGGTTCACATAGAACGTCGTGGAATGACGCACCCAGGTTCACACAGAACGTCGTGGAAACACGCACCCAGTTTCACACGGAACATCATGGAAGGATACACCCAGGTTCACACGGAGCATTGTGGAACAACACACCCAGGTTCACATGGAATGTCGTGGAGGGACACAACCGGGTTCACATGGAATGTCGTGGAGTGACACACCCAGGTTCACACAGAACGTCGTGGAACGACGCACCCAGGTTCACACAGAACGTCGTGGAAGCACGCACCCAGGTTCACATGGAACGTTGTGGAAGCACGCACCCAGGTTCACATGGAACGTTGTGGAGGCTCGCACCCAGGTTCACACGGAATGTCATGGAAGTATGCACCCACCCAGGTTCACACTGACGTGGCTGCTGGGGTAGAGGGCAGGAGAGGCAGGCCACCCTCCCTGAAGCAGCCATGAAGTGCACCTGTTAGGAAAAGTGTGCCCGTGGAAGTGCACACCGTCACACATAGGCAGCAGCACCTTCTTGTGAACTAAGGTGGGTGGAAATGCCATCCCTACCTTTTTTAATGGTTCTCAGGGTGATTGGAATCCAGGTGATTTTTTGTTTTGTTTTGTTTCTTATACTTTTATGTAATCAAATAATTTACGATGAGCATGTAGTAATATAATCAAGAAAGAGCAGATTTTCATTGAAAGGCCAGGAAAGTCTTCCTAGGTGGTGGTTTGCTGTTGATGAAGTTGTCCGTCCGTCTTTCATGTTGCTATTTCCCTTTGTTACGTATTTAGTTCCTTTGTTTGTGTCTGGGTTCACGTCTTCACTTTCCGTTCTGTTCCCTATGATTGTTTTTCTTTAATATTTAGGATCCTTTTAATTTGGAATTTTCTGAAAAATTTGTTTTCATCTCTGTGAAAATCATGCTGTTAAAGTTGTTTAATGTGAGCATTTTGGGGGGTTAGCATTTAGCATTTTATAGGCAGATGAGCCTCACGGGAAGGCAATAGACTGCGTGGTCTGTTCTGTGTCCCCAGTGATACAGTCTTAAGGAAGCCACTCGAGTGCATGTGTCCCTGCACTGGGGGTCCGTCTGTCCAGTGGGGTCACGTCTACAAATCATAGTCTTAATTGAACGCCTGTTGTGGGTCTGGTAGTGTACAGGGGTTAAAAAGATGAAAACGTCCATAATTACGTGAGAATGAGATGTCTCATGAGGGTTAACAAGCAAGTCTGTGAAATTATCAGTTCTTCCTGTTGGGCTCAGTGAAAGTTTCCAAGAAGATAGATGCTGGAGGTACATCTGGAAGGACCGGGTGGGACATTTCCAGGTTGAGACTGGTGGGAGAAAAACGGGATGACGTGTAGTAGGATGAGGTGGGACAGCGAAGAGTCTTCTGGAGGGGCCTCCTGTCAGCTGTCTGGGAGGCAGGAGAGCTAAGATTGGAGGGGCTGGCTGACAGCGGCCTTTGGGGCCCCACGAAGGCATGTTCCAAACGGGTAGACCTGGAGGAGGGACGTGGACTCGCTGATCACCATCTGCATACTGTGGCCAGCCTGTTGTCACTGCATTTCCAGGTGACCGACTTAGCATCTTATGTCCTTTGTTTGCAGGCTTGTGAGTGGCAATTCCATTGAAGAGAAATTGTTGAAAAATGGAACTAAAGATTTGATCCGAGAAGTGGCTGCTCAGGGAAATGACTACTCCATGGCATTCTTAACTCAGGTACTCCTTATTCGATGAGAGTCCTTGAGGTGAGGCCCGCTGTGCGGCGCATGGAATCGCCTGGTGTTAGTGCACACTAGCGAGGGGCTTCGGTCTCCAGCTCAGGTCAGATGCACACTTGGACCTTGTACTGGGGAGTAACACACGTCTCTGTGTTCAGCGAACCATCCAGGAGCTGTTTGAGGTTTATTCTCCCATGGATGATGCTGGCTTCCCGGTCAAAGCTGAGGAGTTTGTGGTGCTTTCTCAGGAACCTTCTGTCACGGAAACCATTGCACCCAAAATTGCAAGACCTTTCATAGAGGTGAGAATACATTGAATCTGGCTGGAGAGTTGCATGGTGGGAGCCGTCAGAACACCTACACCCTCCCCTGGGGCTCTGAGTGCTCAGTCCCCACTCTTCCCTGGCCTGAAGCCCTCTTCCCATCCCTGCTTTTGGAGCCTCCCCCCTCCCTTCTTTCCGTCATGGGGATTTTGAACTGCAAATACAAGTGAGGGAAATGGTGACGAAGGTCGCGAACTACTGGCCTGTCACTGAAGCAGTTGCTGCCGTCTTCATCCGCACTTTCCCACAGTCTCAGCTCCTTCCCCTCCCCATGGAAATCTATTCCTGCCTCCTCTGGAGGCTCTACCAGCACTGCCCCTGCTCCCCTCCAGCTGGCTGTGTTGGCTTCTCCCTGAGCAGAGCAGCCACCAGCCTGCACTCAGGTGCTAAGTGTCAGGTGCCGGTTGATTGTGAAGACTGAGTGTAAGAAAGAACACAGACTATCATGTTGGTACTTTTGAATGTTGACTGCCTGTTGAAGTGATAATATTTTGGCTGTCGGGTTATGTCAGTATTTTACTGTTTTGGCATGGGTACTAGAAGATAGAAGGCATGTTTGGGTCCTTTGATTTTTCCCTTTTGGGGGTGCTGCTGTGTGGACACATCACATACCTGTCACGGGGCCACTGTTCCCTCCCTATCCCCATGGCTGCCCGCCAAAGCCCTACAGCCTCACGTCCTGGAGATGGAGGCTTTTAGCTACCTTCGTTCTCTGAGTCCTCTCTTCCTTCATGTGGCCCTGCTACTCCTCCAGAGCTTGTTCTGGGGCCCCCGTTTCTGTGCCTCTTACCTTGGAAGGATTTGGTATCCCTGTGCATCTTTTTTCCTGCCGTGTTTGACTACAGTACCTGACTGCATGGGCTTTTCTGTATGTTTTTCTTTTCTGTTAAAGCGTTAAAGACGAGACTGGGCACACTGCACAGCCTGTCAGCACCTGTCCCTCAACACGCGAGATTGAGCCTCCCAGCCTCATGGTGTCAGCCCCCTCCTTACCTGTGCTCAGCTTGTTCTCATCAACTCTGATGCTGTCTCCTCTTCCATTTCTAAACATTACTCAGTTACCAAATAAATAAGAAATACTTGGGGTATGACTGTTTTAGTCCGTTTGTGTTGCTGTAAAGGAATACCTGAGACTGGGTGATTTATTTTAAAAAGGGGTGTATTTCACTCATGTTTCTGATGGCAGCAGAGTTCAGGATTGAGCATCTGTCTGGTGAGGGCCTCAGACGGCTTCCATGGTGACAGAAGGGGAGGGGGAGCTGCATGTGCAGGCCACGGAGCGAGAGAGGGAGCGAGGGGCAGACAGCAGGCTCCCTTTAATAGACTGACCCTCACAGGACGAACAGGGCGAGACCCATTCCCCCAGCCCCAGAGCATGTCTGTTCCTGAGGGATCCACCTATGACCCAAACCTTTGAGAATTTATAATGAAAAGCCAGTCTCCTGCCCTGCCCCCACCCCACCACCACCCCGGTTCTCACATTTCTTCTGGAGATTGTCTGTGTATCATTTCCTTTACACCGACATACCTTACAGATTGTTACGTATCAGGAGGCATGGATCAACCTCATTCCGTTTTAAGGAGGTAATACATGCATGAGGTTGGAAAAGGAAAACAACACAAAATCATAGCTAGGGCCAGGTGTGGTGGCTCAGGCTGTAATCCCAGCACTTTGGGAAGCTGAGGCTAGAGGAGGGCTTGAAGCCAGAAGTTCAAGACTGGCATGGGCATTATAGTGGGACCCCATCTCTACAAGAAGAATTTTAAAAACTATGAGTGTGGTGGTGAGCACCTGTAGTCCCAGCTACTGGGGTGGCTGAGGCGGGAGGATCTCTTAAGCCCAGGAGATTGAGGCTGCTGTGAGCTGTGATCGTGCCACTACACTCCAACCTGGATGACAGAGTGAGACCCTGTCTCAAAGACAAAATATGCAAAGGACCTGACTCTGTGTGTCTCAAAGGAAAACATGTAAGTGGCGGATGTGTAGATGAAATAATGTCCAGCATCACTAATCATCAGGAAAATCAAATAAAAACCACATGAGGTACCAACTGGCACCTGTTAGGATGACTGTCATCAAAACGCAAAAGATAGCGAGTGTTGGTGAGGACATGGAGGAAAGGGGCCCATTGCACTCTGTTCCTGGGAACGTCGTTGGCACAGCCACCATGGGAGATGGCAGGGAGCTTCCTCAAAAATGTAGAAATAGAGCTTCCACAGGATCCAGCAATCCCACTGCTGGGTGTCTATCCAAAGAGTTGAAATTAGCACGTAGAAGAGGTGTCTGCACCCTCGTGTTCATCACAGCACTGTCCCAGCAGCCAGGACACGGAATCAACACAAGTGTCCATCAGAAGTCTGGGATTTTCCGTATTGGCTCTGTTGTTTCCCAGCAGCATAGTATTTCAACACATAGATTCTTTGGAAACATACTTGTTGATTGTTTTACTGTGTGTCAGGCATTGTTCTAAGCAGTAGGGATACAGGATCGAAAAAAAGACAAGAATTTCACCTTTCATGAAGCTTATATTCAGAAGTAAGGAGAGAGGCAGAAACCAAACCTAGTGAGTAAAGCATGTAATTTATTCACACGAGAAGCTGTGAAATGCTGAGTCCAGGGGAGAATGTTGTGGTCACCACAGTAGACAGGTCAGTGTGGCTCAGGGGGTGGGGAGGGTGTGACCAGGTGGGGCCTGACTGCAGGGAGCCCTTGGAAGGGTTTGAGTCAAGCTGTGGTGCAGGGTCTGGCATGACCTAAGAGAGTCGCTCTGACTCCTTTGTTGAGACTCGGTTGTAGCAAGGCAGGGGGATCCTGGGGCCCAGTTAAGAGTCCCAGAGCAGTAACACTGGTGAGCAAGGCTAGTGAGGAAAGCTGGGGGACCTGCCGGGGCAGCAGGGGGGTCTTTGGAGGGTAGAGCCAGCAGGACTCGCTGCAGTGGGTGTGTGAGGAGGATGGCTGCTCCTCACTGGCTTGACCGGCCCCTGGGAACAGAGAGGTAGGTTAGCCTTGACCTTTTGCCAGCAGAGACAGATCCACGTTAGCGTGCTGTGCTCGTACCTGCTGCACGGGACTGTGGCTGTAGGATTCTTCTCTCATTGGCAACGCTCATCAGAGGATTTGTGCCTGAAAAATGATTTTAAGAAAAGTCCTTGTTGACATACAGAAACATACAGCAAGTGTACGCATCACAAAGATTCCCGCTGGAGAAATGTTCTGTCAGCAGAGGCACCTGGTGGAGGAGGAGGATGCGGCTGGCTCCTCAGAAGGCCTGTCCCCCATCGGTGCTGCCGCTTGAGAATTCTGACAGCATTCCCTGCTTCTGCACTTTCTGTACATGGGGCGTTCTTCCTTCGGGTCTGCCTTCTTGTTGTGCGCGGCAGTCGGTAACTCATTCTCATTGCTGTGTAGAGTTCTGTCTGAATATACCGCAGTTGATCAGATCTGCGGCTCGTGGATGTGATGGGTGGTTAATTTGAGTTGTGCTCCTGTGGAATCTGCGGCTCGTGGATGTGATGGGTGGTTAATTTGAGTTGTGCTCCTGTGGAATCTGCAGCTCGTGGATGTGATGGGTGGTTAATTTGAGTTGTGCTCCTGTGGAATCTGCGGCTCGTGGATGTGATGGGTGGTTAATTTGAGTTGTGCTCCTGTGAATGTTTCCATCCTTGTCTTCGGTAAGCACGCATGTGCAATTCAGGCTGCATACGTTTGACTTCAGGAGATGCTGTGGCTGCGCCAGGGATGCTCCCACCATGGGGTTGTTCTGGGTGGTGGTGTGGAGGCGAAATTGCTGGTCCTGTCACCGTAGCTACAGGGTGGAATGTGGGATAGTCTCATTGTGGTTTAATTGGTAGTTTTGCTGTTGATTGATGAGTTTGAGTGCCTCTTCACATATTTACTGGCAGTTTGAGTACTTTTTAAAGAAATGCCAAGGCTTTTCCCAATTTTTTTTATTGGGTTTTTCTCTATTTCTTTTTCTTTTCTTTTTTTTTTTTAAACGGAGTCCCATTCATCGTCTAGGCTGCAGTGCAGTGGTATGATCTCGGCTCACTGCAACCTCCACCTCCCAGGTTGAAGTGATTCTCCAGCTCAGCCTCCCAAGTAGCTGGGATTACAGGTGCACGCCACCACGCCTGGCTAATTTTTATATTTTTAGTAGAGATGGGGTTTCTCCATGTTGGCAAGACTGGTCTTGAACCTCTGACCTCAGGTGATCCACCTGCCTCGACCTCCCAAAGTGCTGTGATTACAGGCGTGAGCCACCACACCCGGCCAGTTGTCTCTGTTTCTTAATGACTTGTTGGAGTTCTTTATGTATCCCAGATAAAAGGCCTTTGTTTGATACACGTGACATATCTTTCCCATTCTTTGGTTTGCCTTTCTAAACGCTATATATTGATGAGCAGAAGTTCCGAGTTCTGACACCATCCAGGGCCCACGTCTGCTCTCTTTATAGTGGGCGCTTTTTGTGCTCTGCTGAGGAGATTCTCTGCCCACCTGAAGGTCGCCGTGCATCCTCCTCTGTTTTCTTCTACATGTTGCGTTGTTTTATGTTTGCTACTTAGGTGCACCACCTATCTGGCAATAAGTTCTGTGTATAGTGTCGAAATAGTGTTATATAACTTTGCAGGTTTTACCAGATTGCCCTGGAAACAGATTGTATCGGTTTTTAATTTGTATCTTCTAACTAAAAACCATACCTCCATGTCAGATGTATTTTGCCCACATCTGCAGGTAACTATCAGACGTGTGTTCCTAGCTGTTTCTGCAGATGAACAGTGGCATCTCCTCATTCTAACTTGCGTGTCTTGCACTGTGATAAAGCTGTCTTGTATGTTTTTAGTCATCAATGCTACATTGCGCGGTGGACTTGCTCCTGCTGCCATAATGTTGGGCTGTCCGTCTGCTGTCTGGTTCCTGGACAGAAGCCCCTGTCCTGCTGTGTCTGTCAGCTGAGGGCAGTGGTGTGCATCGGGTCTGAGATGGAGCCTCCTGGGCCTTTCTTGTTCTCGGAGCTTCCCTGGCCCTGGGTGCCCTGGCACGCTTTGCCTGCGTCAGTGCTCAGCCCTTCCATGGGGCCTGCCTGTCCAACTCGATAGTAAGGTTAGCAAGGCCCAGGAGATTTCCCGCTCATTTTCTGTATTCTCTAAGTGCCTTATCATTTTCACCTGTAAGAGGACCTCAGGGAAGGAGTGGATGGCCTTTATAGAGAGTGGGTGATTACAGTGTAGGCATCTCCATTAACTTTACATAGGATGGCTCTTTTTTAAAACTACCCTCTTTTAAAAAGTCTGTCAAGGCAATCTAAACATAGACTTTCCTCAGGCCCTCAAGAGTATTGAGTATCTGGAGGAGGATGCTCAGAAGTCCGCAGAGGAGGGGGTGCTGGGACCACACACTGATGCGCTGTCCTCAGACTCTGAGAACATGCCATGTGATGAAGAACCGTCCCAATTAGAGGAACTAGCTGACTTCATGGAGCAGGTTTGGGCATGTTTTCCTTTACAACTACCTACTTTAAAAATTTGACCGTTCTATAAAATATTTATTGTTTACTGCAAGAAAAATCACTTTTTTGATTCAAATGTTGGTGAGTGGGTTGTATAAGGAACTTGACTTTTATTAACTTGCTATTAACCCTATTCAAAAAATATACTTTTGGAACAGCTTACACCAATTGAAAAATACGCTTTAAATTACCTGGAATTATTCCATGCTTCCACTGAGCAAGAAAAAGCGAGAGATAGTGAGGTAAGAGGGTCAACTTTCGGTCAGTGAAAAAAATGGCAATATTTTCAGAGTTAAGTTTGATTTAAAGTAAATGTGACTTCATTAAATTAAAGTCACAAAAGCCAAAACCCACAAGTTTGGAAACGAACTTAAAATGAAGAGAGTCTTGAGAAGCTGGTAGGGACCGTGGAGCTTGTTCACCCCTCGTAGGGACCGTGGAGCTTGTTCACCCCTCGTAGGGACCGTGGAGCTTGTTCACCCCTCGTAGGGACCGTGGAGCTTGTTTTCCCCCCATAGGGACCGTGGAGCTTGTTCACCTCTCGTAGGGACCGTGGAGCTTGTTCACCCCTTGTAGGGACCGTGGAGCTTGTTCACCTCTCGTAGGGACCATGGGGCTTGTTCACCCCTCGTAGGGACCATGGAGCTTGTTCACCCCTTGTAGGGACCGTGGAACTTGTTTTCCTCCCATAGGGACCATGGGGCTTGTTCTGCCCTCAGTGTCTTTGATTTGATTTGCAGCAGGCTGCTGCTTGCAGGGTGACACGTTGTGGGTCAGTGTGTATAGAGAACATGTGGCTCTGAGACGGCAGGGAGACCTAGAGCAGGGACTCGGGGACTGCTCTGAGCTGCGTTCCTGATCCTGAAAGTTCCTGCTTCTCTCCCCATCAGGACGCAGTGATGACTGCAGTGAGGGCATGGGAGTTCTGGAACCTGAAGACCCTACAGGAGAGGGAGGCCCGGCTGCGGCTGGAGCAGGAGGAGGCGGAGCTCCTGACCTACACCCGAGAGGATGCCTACAGCATGGTACCTGGCCCGGGGCCCTCCTGCCCTCTTGCCCCCCTGCTGAGGGGCACTTGTTCAGCCATGTTTGGCTGTTCAAAGTCTGTGTACATTGACATGAGAAAATGCCTAGGAATTGTTACTTCTCATATCAAAACAACTTCACTCATGTTCTAAAAACAGTTTTCTTAAAAATTGACACTTGGAGATTGCAGTTAGATATTGACCAGCTCTGATTAAAGCATTTATAAGTCTTATTATAAATAGTCATGTCGATCAGACTTATCTGGAAGACTTAATAAGTATGAAGGTACGTGATTTGTGGCTTACAACATGACACTGAGACTTGGTGGAAATTAGAGCGTGCCGTGTTCCCTACAGGAGTATGTCTACGAAGATGTCGATGGGCAGGCAGAAGTCATGCCGGTGAGTGCTGCCCTCTCCCTTTGGGTCTGCGCGGGCAGCTTCCTGTGAGTTCCACATCTCATGGGCCCTCCCTTCTCTGTGCAGCTCTGGACCCCGCCCACCCCGCCACAGGACGACAGTGACATCTATCTTGACTCGGTCATGTGTCTCATGTATGAAGCCACTCCCATCCCAGAGGCTAAGCTGCCCCCCGTGTATGTGAGGAAGGAGCGGAAGCGACACAAAACAGACCCCTCAGGTGCGCATCCCGAGGGCATCGCGTGACCTAGGCGGGCCCTGGCCTGCAGAGTCCCTGCATATCAGCCGCTTTCTGCTGTCTGCTGTCTGCCTGTCTGCTGCAGGGCGAGTGCTCACACGCCCGTCCACTGCCTCTCAGGCCCTGTGCACAAGTTCTGTTTCCAATGAGGAAACCTTCGTGTTTCCTTCTAATTGACCGTGAAGACCTGAGAGCAGGTCTGTCTTTGGCAGGTGCTTTCTGTGGCCTCTTTGCTCAGGCACCTCCAGACTTGCCCAACCTGTTTCCTTTGTCTTTTACCTGCCAATGTGGAATCTCCTGGTTTACTGTCTTGCTGAAGACAGCCTCTCTGTTCAGCTGCAGGCAGGAAAAAGAAGCAGCGTCACGGGGAGGCAGTCGTCCCTCCTCGGTCCCTGTTTGACCGAGCGACACCAGGCCTCCTGAAAATTCGCAGAGAGGGCAAGGAGCAGAAAAAGAATATTCTGCTGAAGCAGCAGGTGCCGTTCGCCAAGCCCCTGCCAACTTTTGCCAAACCCACAGCCGAGCCTGGTCAAGACAACCCCGAGTGGCTCATCAGTGAGGACTGGGCGCTGCTGCAGGTAGGTGGGCGTGGTCTTTGTGCCAGCGATCACGTGGTCATTTTTCTCCCTCATGTCTATGCTTCTAGCTCACTGTGATCACTTTGCGGGGAGTCTTTGGCAGGAGGGAAGACCTTCTGACTTAGAGTGTATTCGCCTGTTTTACCTGAAACCTCGTTCTCTAGGCTGTAAAGCAGTTACTGGAGCTGCCTTTGAACCTCACAATCGTGTCACCTGCTCACACACCTAATTGGGATCTTGTCAGTGACGTCGTTAACTCCTGTAGCCGAATCTACCGCTCTTCCAAACAGTGCCGGAATCGCTACGAGAACGTCATCATTCCACGAGAGGAGGGGAAGGTAAGCGCGGTCTTGTTTGTCCTCCGAGGAGAACACAGGCAGGTGTGGTGGCTGTGGCCTGCAGTGTCGGCTCCAGTCCTGCTCTTCACTGACTGGGCTCCTTGATCCCTGTGGGTCTGCGGTGAAGTCCATCTCCTCGGGCTCCTGGTGGACCCAGCGAGGTCAGGTTCCTGCACTGTGCCTCGCCTATGGCATGAGCAGTGATGGAGGTGTTCGCACTGTGCTTGGTGTTGGCAGCAGGCCTCATACCTGAGGTTTTATCTGATACCAACATTTGCACTGCCATTGTCATTTCTAAGATAGTGTGGGTGTCATCCGAATACTTGGCTGTATATATATGTATACATTTTTGCTTTGTAACCCAGGCTGGAGTGCAGTGGCACGATCTCAGCTCACTGCAAACTCCACCCCCCGGGTTCACACCATTCTCCTGCCTCAGCCTCCTGAGTAGCTGGGACTACAGGCTCCCGCCACCACACCTGGCTAATTTTTTGTATTTTTAGTAGAGACGGGGTTTCACTGTGTTAGCCAGGATGGTCTCAATCTCCTGACCTTGTGATCCACCTGCCTCGGCCTCCCAAAGTGCTGAGATTACAGGCATGAGCCACTACACCCGGCCGATATATATACATTTTCAACAAGGTTTTGGATGAATGAAAAGACCTTTCCCTGGGTTTTGATCATGGCATACTTAAATGAGGGTATCATCCAAATACTTGGTCATATATAGACAGACATTTTCAAGAAGGTTTTGGGTGAGTGAAAAGATAAGCTGTCTCGCTTTGTTTTGATCATAGCGTACTTAAAGAAAAGTCTGTTACTGGTACCTCTGCTATTCTGGTACTGAATGGCTGGCTGGCTGCAATGGTTTGACAAGTGTAATATTCCCTGTTTCAGGGTTAACTATAAGTATTGCAAGTGTTTGTTTACATATAGTATAGTCAAATCATTAGTCTTTCATGTAAGAAGTCAGCTGTGTGGTTTGTAGCTTGACCCCGGAAGAGTCCAGGCAGCTGGTCAGTAACATGTAGGCGTGCGTGTGGCGTGCCTTCCCTTGAACTGAGTCATCCCTCTCCGTTGTGCATCTGGCTTTCTTCAGGCAGCTCCTTCTTGCTGCTTGCCTGCCTTTCTCGCTTCAGGACCGCATCCAGAGCCCCCACACCAGCAGCGTCTGCATGCTCTGCTGTGCCCACGTTGCCAGTGTCCACACCCCTCAGGGGATGTGCTGTCCCACTTCCAGGGCACTTGCCATGCTGGTGTGTGGGGACCACTGCCTTTCAGTTCACCTCGTGGAGCCCATCCAAACAGGAGCTGTGGGCATGTCTTCTTGCATGGGACAGGGTGGGGCAGATATAGTAGAGGCAGGCATCCAGTACTTTTACTATATTTACTTTTGTTTCTAATTTGTGAGAATTACATTTTCTCTGTAATAGCCAGATCCATCCTCAGGATGCGAACATCACACTTAATTTATTTCTGTACCCGCTCTTTCAGTCATCTCTCTTCATTTTTCTAAAAACACTTGTCTGAAAATAAAGCATTTTTTTGTTGTTGTTGTTGAACGTAGAAAAGCAAGTTTTCTTCGTAATACCACTTTGTGGTCCCTTTACCAATAAGACTTCCTGGAATCTTGCATTAATTAGATTTTCTGTGTTTTGGAAGCATTTGTAATAATAGCCATTACCTTATTATGGAAAAAAGTAAAGCTAAAATATTGTCTTCTTTTATAGCTGATTTATGAAGCTAATCCAGAGAAAAAGGCAAAAATATTTGTAAAGTTTGAGGGTGATGTTCTTTTTTTTTTTTTTTTTTTTTAGACAGGAGTTTCACTGTTGTTGCCTAGGCTGAAGTGCAGTGGCATGATCTCGGCTTACTGCAACCACTGCCTCTCAGGTTCATGTGATTCTCCTGCCTCAGCCTCCAAAGTAGCTGGGATTACAGGTGCCTGCCACCATGCCTGGCTAATTTTTGTGTTTTTAGTAGAGATGTGTCCTCTACTGCTAGAAGAATACCCTAAATTTCATCAAGTTGACCAGGCTACTCTCGAACTCCTGACCTCAGATAATCTACCCACCTCGGCCTCCCAAAGTGTTGGGATTACAGGCATGAGCCACCACCCGTGGCTGCGGGTGATGTTCTGAATAAGTTGGAGCACTTTGTTAAGAGCCTGTGCACAGAGACGTAGAGTAAGATTCAGTCTTACCCTATATTTTAGGAATCAACAGAAACCTGAGACCTAGAATTTTCTCCAGGGCCTCTCATTCTGTATGTAGAGGCCATGACTCTTTGTATTAGAGGACCCCACGGTGACTTGTCCAGCCCCCTAAAGGGCATCCTGAGCCTCCGTGTCCCTCATGCCCTGTGGAAGCCCTTGATGGTGACAGTGGTCGGATGTGTGTGTGAGTGGGACAGCCCCACCTCTCAGAGCCTGCGGGACTCCGGCAAGCCATGTGGGACGGGGCATTCATGCCTGGTGAGAGCCTACACAGGAGCTCTGTTACCAGACACACAGTCTTTCTGCCTCTGGCCTGGCTCAACCTAGCCATCCAGCATCTTGTGTGATAGACCTGGTCTTACTCTTATGCACCCCTTCTCTCTCCCTCCCTTTGCTCACTCTTAGGATGATAGATAGGAGGAGAATGCTTCCCTGTATGGCACAGTGTTCTGGGAGGAGACTGCTGTGGCCTTGCATGTTGGTTTCTAGTTCTGGTTGTCCTTAGTGTTGCCTTCAGAATTTAGGGCATTTCTCTAGCAGTAGAGGACACGTGTGCACACAGACATGTGTGCTTGTACATGCGCAGACACACCTGTACCTGGGCGTGTGCTGCTGTGTCATGTGAGAGTCTTGGTTTTCGCCTTGGCACACTCTCTTTGACCGGAGTTTAGAGGAGCATGGGGGAAGAGCCCTGGGCAAGGAAGGAGGTGCTTGAACCCTGGTCTTGACTTGTCACTACCTCTGTGACCTTGCACAGAGAGCATTCCTGGGACGGCTGTTCACTTCACAGGATAAGGAGTTACTTTAAAATTCTGCAGGATGCTAAGATGTCTTGGGAGCAAGTAGCCCACAATTGAGTGGCCCGTTGTTCAGCTGTGCAATTTATGAAGGAAGGACTGCCAGGCATAAGCACTGCT